GTGTGTGTGTGTGTGTGTGTGTGTGTGTGTGTGTGTGTGTGTGTGTTCTGGGGGAAGGACAGAGGTTCCCACAGTGCTGAAGCTGTCAGCAGTTGTGTGAAATGCACGTCTTGTGAAACAAACCCGGCATCAGGCATTTATTTGCAGGGCTTTTGAGTCAAAGCTGCTTAATAAGTGCGGCGTGTGTTTGCTTTTTTCCCTCCAGCTCTGACAACCTTTTGGTCTGGCTTCCTTTTCTCTTTGGACCTTATCTGGAGACGTGTGAAGAGCTGGAGGCCGCATGGGCTGTGTGTTTTGGTGAGCTCGGGCCCGTTGGCCTGAGTGCCCGAGCTCTTGGAGGCCCGTGGGGCTGAGCCACGTGGCACCTGCTGGGGCTCCTACTCGGCCAAGCGTCCCTGGCAGAGCAGCGGCGGTGGCAGCTGGAGCGGGGCCCTGTGTCCAAATGCCTGAGAAGACCATTTCCTGGCTGGGCTGGGTGCACAGGCGGCAGGGTTTGTGAGGCAAATCCTGACGATTTAGGGACCAACCAACCGTTTTATTGCCAGGGCTCATGCGGGGGGAAAACTCCTTGTGATTTGAGGAGCTGGTAGAGAAATCAATGGTGACAGCAGTATATTTGTTACCCGGGTTTCTGGAATGGGGTCTTCCTGACAGTTTTCTAGCCATCTGATCGTGCAGACTTCATGCCAGCCTGGACCAAAACCACAGGCTCTCCCTGTTACCTGCCCTTCCCCACGTGCGTGCGTTCCTGTGCGCATGCCTGCGCCTAAACACAGAATTATTTACAGACGTGGCTTTCCAGAAATTCACTTACAAGGATTCCCTATGTTTGTTCAGAGTTTCATCCCACACTGAAACGATTACCTGAGAAATGATTGAGGGGAGCTGAGAGCCCATTGCAAGTGACTGTAGATGGATTCGATACCCTTTTGGGGTAGGAGGGAAAGAGTTAATAGCCAAGATTGAAAACATTTGTAGGGAGGGGCTGTTTTTGATTATGGGACTCAAACTCACTTGCTGAGTTTGGGAGAAACTCAGGCCCAGGGAGGTTAGTGTACAGTGGCGGAACGAGGATTCTGGACGCTTTTCCGTGTTTTGATGAAAGACTGTATTAAAAGCAGTGTTTGTTGCAAGTCCCCGAATAACAGCACCCCCAGGAGGAAGAAGGTAGAAGATGGTGAGTTTGGGTCCATCTGGACAGCTTCACAGCTCCAGGCCATGGTTTCTTACACCATGGTTTTCTCATCTTTCACTAAGAGGTCTTCCCTTTGCAGACCTCTGTGCTTGAGGTGGGCAGGAGTGGCTGACCACAGCTGGGCCCTCTGCCCCACTTCTACCCCCTGTAGGGGCTCAAGTGTGGGTGGGAGCCGGGCAGGTGGAGGTGGCACATCAGCAGAGGGTTGCCACCCTGAACACAGGTAAGTGTAAGGGTACGGGATCAGGGTGGGCAAAGGAGAAGTCTCCGGGCAACCCGCACCCTTTTCCAGGAAGCCCCACCACCTCTCTGGGCCCGGTCCACTTCCTATTATGAGTTTGTCCTGCCTTTTTCTGGGGTTCTCAATGAAGTTTTATTTGGGTCAAATGTTGCTTGAAACCAGAAGACTATTGGCCTTTCCTGGAAAACCTCTTGCTTTGGAGAGCATAGCTGGATTTGACTGTAGCAAGATGTGAAAATGCAACTTGTTTTTCCCAAAGCGGCTGCTGACTGGCTCTCGGTCAAGTCTCTTAGGAATCCGGCTTGTGAATCATCCAGAGTCATTGTGAAGCCTGTGCGATCCTGGTCGGCCTCGTGAAAGGCGGACATGTATTGACTCATGCGCTCTTTTCTTGATTCTTGTTTTTCCTTCTCTTCTAGTATTAAGGGACATCAGCGAAAGAGGGAGGGACCTTGAGCAGATTTTATCTCAGTACATTACATTCGTCAAGCCTGCCTTTGAGGAATTCTGCTTGCCAGTGAGTTGTGTTCTTGTTTTTCATTGAATTTAGTCTTTAACATGTAATCAAACAAATAAAGGTCTGTAAGTTGAGCTCCCTGGCTGGGATTTCACTCATTCCCTCCTCTATCCTCAAGTCCCAAGAAAGGGCAGCCTTTGGTGCTTTGTTTCCTATCACTGTGTTCTCCAAGAGCTCTGTCCTGCCACTCTTTTTCTGGGGTACCCCTTCAGGATCCTGCTGTCTGATTCCAGCAAGCTGTACACTTCTTGCTTGGTAGGCTCGTGGTGTGAGACTACCTTTGAGACCCTTTATCGAGGGTGCATCAGTATCCCAGGATAGACTCAGCCACTTGGGTCTTCAGAAGGTCTGTGATGGTTGGAGTACTGGTGTAGGAGGCCTCAGCTACAAGGTATTCCCTTCTGAATCTCTTCTGCCACTACATCTGAGCCCCGTTTCGAGCTTGTCATTGGTCCCCGTGTAAGTTCCCATTTGAGAGGTTCGCCATATTGGAACAGGCTTCTGTACTTCTGCCCTAGCACGGGCTCTGTCAGGCCTGCCCACGGCAGCTGGGAACTCTCTAGTGAGGTGGCTTTCAGAGAAGGAAGGGTGAGGACGGGGGGATTCTCAGCTTTTAGCGAATCAGCCCTCAGCCTAGGAAACACCCCAGCTTCTTCATGAAAGATCTGCGAACGTTGAGGGAAGACCTCAGGGACATAAGGTTTGGAGTGGTGGGGTTAAGTTCTGAGAGAAAGCGAGAGAGGTTGGGTCTTCGTCTTGTCTTGGGTGATGACTTCAGGGAGATGAGAGGTGTAGAGTGTGGCCGAGTGTGGGGATTTCTCTGCCTCGCCTGATAATTAACTTCTTTTTCCTCCCATGGAAAAATATGATCCCAAACCGTCTTTCTTTCTTTTTTCATTTTTATTGGAGTATAATTGCCTTACAATGTTGTGTTAGTTTCTGCTGTACAATGAAGTGAATCAGCTATACGTGTACCTATATCCCCTCCCTCTTAGATCCCTGCCATCCCTCCCATCTAGGTCACCACCTAGAGCAGCGAGCTGAGCTCCCTGTGCTATGCAGCAGCTTCCCACTAGCTCTCTATTTGACACATGGTAGTGTATATATGTCAGTCCCAATCTCCCAATTCATCCGCCGAACCCCACCCCTGCCCATCCCCCCCACCCCGGGGGGCCTCTTTGTTTCTTTAAGTCTGTTAGTAGGTTTTGCATCAAAACAGACTTGACATTTGTTTCAGCCTGGAACCGGGCAGACTTTGAGTCAGCCTGAGTAACGCTGATGCCCTGTTCATTCCCCTGGAGAGGATTGGGTCACAGGATTAGGTTTCTGGGAAGAGGGCAGAAGTGGCTGTGGAGCTGTGAAATTCTATCCATCCATCTGAAGACCTCTCCTGCTCTTTTTAACTTAATAATAAGAATACAGGGCTTCCCTGGTGGCGCAGTGGTTGAGGGTCCGTCTGCCGATGCAGGGGACGCGGGTTCGTGCCCCAGTCCGGGAAGATCCCACATGCCGCGGAGCGCCTGGGCCCGTGGGCCATGGCCGCTGAGCCTGCGCGTCCGGAGCCTGTGCTCCGCAACGGGAGAGGCCACAACAGTGAGAGGCCCGCGTACTGGGGGAAAAAAAAAAAAAAAAGAATACAAAGTAAACTGATTACTGAACATACATTAGAGTTTACTGCCAACTTCCTGCTGTTTAACTTATTTGTAATGGAGCTCAGAATTTTACGTAAATATTTTCTAGGTTGTTCTACCTGTTCCTCCTGTCCAGCCACTCAGCTCAGGGAAAAGCAGCTCATTCCCACGTCAACCAGGAACTTGGGTCTGATAAATTGTTGGCCTGGTTCAAGTTGGGCATCAGTCGCAATTCAACAGTTGTAGCGTGGAAGCTGCAGAGTACAGACGCCCATGTCCTAAGGCATCGTTTATGTGGTCTCACCAGGACACAAGTTATTTGTAAAATGGTCCACAAAATATCAGTAAACTTTACAAACAAAAAGAGAGTCTGTGGGCTTTTTTTTCTCTTTTTTTTAAGGCTGTGTCATAACAGAGCCAGGGAAAGTGGTCATCAATGGCGATTACTTCTTTTTGGGTTTACCCTCGTGCTAGATAAACCGTGTATAGAAATCCAAGGTGAATTGCTCCCCTTTAAGTTTGGTCTTACTAGCTGATGGTTTTCCATCAGTGAAGAGGCAGTTATATATTTGGTTTCAAGGACCACGTTCTCTGTGCAGATTGTAAGCTGAAACAATGTTAACTGCTAATGAGAACTCAGGGAAAAGCCGATTTATTATAAATTAGATAACGTGGATAAAATGTATTCTGTTTAAAGCCACAAGCTGCTGCTCTCTGGGATTGGTAGAAGGCTGGCCCTTTCCCCACATTCCCTTAGAAGAGGGGCTTGGTCCAGCTTCTCTCTTTAATGCGTTGTAATGCATTTAATGCATTGTAAATATCTTTCTTCGCAGACAAAGAAATACGCTGATGTGATCATTCCTAGAGGTGCAGATAATCTAGGTGAGTCCTCATGGAGTGCCATCCCGTGGGGCATAACTTCTACCCTTTGTCAGTTATACTTCGGAGTAGGATGTGGTAACCAGACAAGGCTCTATAGATGTGGTTGAGCCACTGGCTGCTGCTGTGAGCCAGAAAGGTATTTATACCTATGCATCTGGCCTCGGGGACAGGTCCCTGTGAATATGCATGTACATAAATGGGGACAGGCGTGAACTTGTGCTTCTCTGGCAACAATCAGAGGGCAATAGATTACCTTCTACTGTCATTCCCAGTGATGGTACCTGGCTGCCTTGTATCTGAGGCCATTTTTTAGCAAAAGTAGATTTCCTTCTTAATCTAATTTAGAATGACCTGCCACTAAGGTAGCCTTTCCTAAAGGGAAAGGGATTTCTACCACTAGTGCATTTATGCGTTAGCTTTGACTTGTCTAGAAAGTAGGACTATCCCTGGACTTAGACATAGTGGGGCAGAGTTGAATTGTGAGAATACCCCGTCTTCTCATTCTCTTTATCATTTATTTCAATTTTCCTCTGTTTAAAAAGTAAAATTTTTGCCGAGCCTTTTGGGAGTTAGTCACAGCAGTGAAAATTTCACTGTATATTTCTTAAGGACAAGGCCATTTTCATTTACATTGCCACAGTGCGCTCATCACATCCAGGACAGTTAATATCGACTTAATCTCCTTTAACTTTCCTCAGCCTTTCTTTGTTTTTTATGACACTGACATTTTTGAGGAGCACAGGCCCATTTGTAGATTGGCACTCAGCGTGGGTTTGCTTTTGTGTCCTCACATTAGCTTCAGCTTATATAGTCTGGAGCATACCCTGGGGGAGGGGTGTTCTTGGGGCATCACCTCAGAGAGCACTTGATGTTTAGCCCATTTTGGGTTATGTTAATGTTGATCATTTGCTTGAATCATATGATTTCTTTCCAAGGCTAAGGAAAGAGAGTCCCATTTGACCTTTGGAGGAGAGGGCCTTCTGTAGGGTCCCTGTCCTTGGGATGGGGAGCTGCATGGGATGGGGGCCCAGTGGAAGGGTCTCACAGCTAATTGATGGTGTCAGAGCGAAGGCCAGACCTCATGTCTACAGAATTCGGGTCGATTGCTTTCATCCAGTCCGTGCCTCTGATCGTGTTCTACGTTGTCCTACTCCGAGAATGCCACTGCGGGGGTCATATTAGCCCTGATGGAGGCTTGGGGAGGTGGCGTGACCTGCTGGCAAGCAGCAGAGCCAGCTTCCTGGAACAGTTTTTAGCCTTTGGTTCCTGAGTGCCGTCCACCCAAACAGCCCCACAGCCCCACAGACGTGCTCCCACCCTCCCTGTGTCCCTAACACTTTTCTGGTCTCTGCCCCACAGTGGCCATCAACCTCATTGTGCAGCACATCCAGGACATCCTGAACGGAGGGCTCTCCAAACGGCAGACCAACGGCTATCTCAATGGCTATACCCCTTCACGCAAGAGGCAGGCCTCGGAGTCCAGCAGCCGGCCGCACTGACCCCCGTCTCCTCAGACCCTGGCCCCGATCTCCAAGGGACAGGAGGAGGGGGCAGAGGCACTGTGCATCTATACATATGGTTTCCTATGGTTTCCTATGACATTGCTGTATTTAAGAAAACACCATGGAGATGAAATGCCTTTTTTTTTTTTTTTTTTTTTTTTTTTGGTACTTCGGAGCAGAGAAATGAAACAGAACTTGACCCTGAGCTTAAATGACAAACTGTGCCAACTACTACTGGTGATGCCTAATTATGACTTCAACGTGTAACCAGTTATAAATACATACATATATATATATATAGAAAAGGATCTATTTTTGTGTAAATGTACAAATACTGTACAGCTGTTTGCCGTAAGTATTCTGCAGGAGGGCCTGTACTTGAGTGTGTTTTGGGGGCTGGAGCTGGAGTTTCACCAAAGGGAAGTTGCCTGGTGGGTTCCAGGTGGGTAAGGCTCAGGCGTCTGGGAGGGAGGCTCACGGCTCGCGGCTCTCGGTGTCCGTGGGTCTCGTTGGAAGTGGAGTTTGGAATTTTTGATTGCTTCCCCTGCCAGATGCCACCTTCCTGGTGCTGGAGCTTCAGGATAATGTTAATGAGAGATCCTCTTTTCTTTTTTTTTCTTTTTCTTTTTTTTTTTTTTTTTGAGTTGAAATTAGGCAAGACCTCAACTCAAAACTCAAACTCAGGGAAGGGGCCCACTGAGGGGAACGAGTCTTCTGCGTTTTCTTCTTGCCCCTGCCCACCTCTGGCTGCTCGGGTAGCTCCACACTTCCTTCCTTACTCACCCGCTTCTCAGTCTCTCGGAAAGCCAGAGCTGCCTTGCTCTCCTTCCCTGGTGGGGATGTGACGGGGTCGCTTCCTGACTGAGTGGGGAAGGAGGGAGTGGGACTCTCTGCCTGTCGTATCGTCTGAGATGCTGGTGCCTCCCAGGGAAGTCACCCATGAGATTCCTTGGGCTGTCCCCCAAGCTGTGGAGTGCACAGTGGACCCTTGCAGTCTGGGCTTCGGTTGAGGGCCTCTGCCGGCAGCCTGCCCCTCACAGGGTGGCAAGAGAGCTCTGCCGTGTAGGGAGCCTGTAGCTTTTGTTCCCCGAGGCGTGGGGATTTGCAGCGAGGTGAGGATAACGGGGACCGTCACTGGCAGCATCACAGCCACATTGATTGACTTATTTACCATGCTGCCGCGTCACGTGGCAGCTGCCGGAAACGAGGGGTGGGGAAGGGGAGTGGCGTGTTTTTTTTGTTTGTTTTTGTCTTTTTGCAGTACGCGGGCCTCTCACTGTTGTGGCCTCTCCCGTGCTCCGGACGTGCAGGCTCAGCGGCCATGGCTCACGGGCCCAGGCGCTCCGCGGCATGTGGGATCTTCCCGGACCGGGGCACGAACCCGTGTCCCCCGCATTGCAGGCGGACTCTCAACCACTGCGCCACCAGGGAAGCCTGGGAGTGGCGTTTTTAAGTCACAAGTTGGAGTCTTGGGCTGAAAACATTTGGGGTAGAGAATTCCAGCTTTTCCGAGGGCTCCCTCTTGGTGAAAACTTCCTTCTTTGCAAGAAGTACGGATTCCTGAAGATTCCTGGTGGGGAGGGGTGGAGGAAGCAGGGGACCAAGCGAGAAGAAGGAGGTGTAATTATAGAGGCCTGAAGCGTCACCTTTTAACTGCAGAAGAGGCAGAAGCTTTTCACCTCAGTGTGTTCCGTCTCAGTGCTCGGTAGGCTATGCCCTTAGTTATTCCCTTGTGACTGCCACAGCCTGAAACATTTTGGGGAACGCTTCTCCTTCCATTGCTTTCATAGCCCCTTGAGCCATTCAGATAAACTGATGCCGTTAACTCTAGTCACACGGGAGCAAGCGGCCATGCAGTTTGCCTCCCCTTTTCTGGACTCCACTTGACTCTAACTCCGTTGGGCTGTGTCAAAAAGTCAAACCTAATCCCCAGCAGGGCTTTGCCACCCCTGAGACCTTCAGGAGACTGTGCTGCAGGCCCTGAGAGAGCCCCCCAAGGGCAGCAGCTGCCTGGTTGGAGAAGGGGAGGGTCCCGAGGTGCCTGCTCTGAAGGCCGGTACCTGGCGGGATGGCCAAGTTCTGGAGTGCGTGTTTCCGAGTCAGTATTGATTATCTTTCCAGTCATGCCTTGTGCGGTTCTGAGATGAAGGGTAGATGGCAGGATCCTGAGGACCCAGGGGTCTCCTGCCTTGCTGGGTGGGGCCTGTCTGTGATCAGGGGAAGCCCGTCCCTGTCTGGGAGAGCCTCGGCCCTTCGGTGGTAGCACGGTCAACTTTACTTGAAGCTCACAGGTGCCAAACCATTCAGTGCCTTGGCTGTCTATCCCACTGCCTTGGAAGATGGATTCTTCTGATCTCTGAGCCTTGAGTTACTTAGCCGCTTCCTCATCTACTCCTGGTGTTGGGACCAAGCCTCCAGTGTCTCCGAATAGCCCTGTCCTCGCTGGAAGCAGCTCTAGGGCTGCCCTGCCTCTGGGTAAAACCGTCACCAATTCTTGGTGTCTCGGTTGGGGGCTCACTGGGCCGTGCTGACGACTCCTCTGGTTCTGTGACATAGTACGTCTGGGGCCAGGAGGGGACGGGAAGCTCTGCCTTGGTGTGGTGACCCCAGCATTTAGCCAACTGAGTATCTGAATTTGAGCTTTCTATGTGGCCAATCCCGGACTTGGTATTTTAAGAGTCACTGGATCTCTGATTCCATTGGAGAGTCAGGTAGAGCCATTAGGCCAGACATCATGACATGAGTCACCTGGGTACCCTTTGCTGTCCAGGGAGGCGACACGGATGAGCAGAGTGGGGCGATTGATGTTGGTCGTGTGTACGTGGGAGTCTCTTGTCTTCAGAGATACCCTGTGGTGCTTGCTTCTCCCAGCTGTGCAGGTATTGTCCAAGGACCATGTGTTTAGGGAACAGGCATTGTGTCGTGGGAAGGCCTGGTCCCAAGCTCCTTCACCCCAGTGGAGCTTCTGCTCCCTGGGTTTCTTGTTCTTGGGCAGCCTGAGACCAATAGGGGCAGAGAGCTGGCAGTGTGCATACGGAAGATGCAGTGTTGTGACTTCAGGTGTCCTTTGATTTGGAATGGATAGGGTAGGCCCTCAAAGAGGCAGCGGTCTCTGAAGAACAGGCTGGGGAGGGTGGCAGGGAAAGGTCCCCGGTTCACCCTTCAGAACCTGTTGTCTCTGCAGCAACCCACTGTGGTCTCGGCTGCTGGGCAGTCAAGGACACTGGCTTCTTGCCTCTCCTGGGCTGGCTTGGACACTTGTCTCTGTGTCCAGGGTGGGTTGCCAGTCTCATGAGGCCACTAGGTCAGGCTAAGGCTTGTGTGCAGGAGGGACTGGAGCCCAGCTCGTTTGTGTATCACCTCCTTTGCTGTCCTTGTGAGGTTTCCCTGATTTGACATCCTTGACCAGCACTAGGGCCCAAGGCTATTGGAGGGAAGTAGTAGCCTCTTGCAGGGAAGTGTTTTCCTCTGCCCTGGAGTCTCCCCACCTGCCTGTCCACAACCGTGTGGGTGAGGCGGGCTAGGGAGATTCTGGGTCCCAGGGCTGGGCTTCTGAGAAGGGCTGACTGGACCTCTCTGCCACTCCTCTCCTTCACCCTGACCTCAGGGTGGAGTGGGGAAAGTCTCGGTGTCCGAGCAAACGAGAGGGAGAGCAGGCTGAGGAAACTGTCGGGGTGAGCCTGGAGCTGAGTCCCCTTTGATCTTAGTCTCTGGGCCTTCTTCGGCCCTCCTGGGGCAGGGGGCTGGCTACAGGTCAGCATCCGGCCACGCTTAGAGGCAGTGAGTGCCTAGCCAGTCCTGCCTTAGGAACAGAGTGAGTGGTAAATAAAGACGTAGGCTTTTTCTGTGTGTCTTAGATGCTTGCGCTTCCCCCTTTTCTTTCTACTGCCCTGCCTTTACTCTTAGCAGTTACATAAATGACCACATACTCTGTACTTTGCTGTAAATAAAGACTGAACAGAAAAGAACCCACTCTTGCCTTCTTTGTGGTGCTTGGGCCGGAGGAACAGTGGCTGAGGCCAGCGAGCTGAAGGGAAAGTAGCACCTCCAGGCCTTCGCTGTGTGGATACGGGCACCAGCCTGCTGTCACTATGCCTCCCCTCCTGGGCTGCACCCAGGCCACCATGTGTGCACTTGTGTGTTTCTGCTCTGCTTCTGAAGCCAGGTTGAGATCCCTGGGAGGCTTCTCTTCTCTGGCTCTGGCCGGCTCTGCTCCCTCTGAGGTCATCCGGTTTGTGCAGTCTCCTCCCTTCCTGTCTTCCCTTCCCCATCCCTTCCTCAACTTTCACAATAAAAGCCAGAACAAAACCTTGTAAATAAAGAAAACTTTATTGGGGTTGGGTGGAGGAAAGTTGACATTAGGACAATGTGAACAACTTCAGGTTGAATTCACATACATATATGTGTGTGATTACCCTGATGACTATATCCATTTAGTGTATAGTCATACATCAATCAAATGCAGATAATCATCATCTCTTGTTACTGAAAGATCTAGGTCACCCACCACCGAGGATTCGAAAATAATTAAAGTAATTGGCTTTTGTGCTCCTTGTAGCATCCTGACTCTTCCCCCCGGCCCTGCCTTTTCTCAGCTTCCCTTTCATCCCTTCACCTGCTGCCTCCCAGGCACCCAATGACCCTCATTGATGTGTGGAGTTGCCCTGCTATTTCCAGCCACTTGTTCCAAGGACAGAGGCAAACCCTTCAAGGAATTCAGATCCAAAAGAACTTGGATTTAAGAGGAATCCATCCTCAGAAGGCCGCTGTGTTTTCACATAACACTTAGGTGTGTGTTATCAAGCTCGATTATTACCTGCAGGCAGATGAAGACGTGAGTCGTGGTTGTGCAAGCCGCTTTAGCTGCGATCCAGTTTGCTCTGTGTGTTGCTCTCACATTTCCCCTATCTGTGGACCACGTCTGGAGTCCAAGCTTTGCTTGGGACTCTGTTCATTTCTCAGAATTCAGTTCTGCTTCCTTGTTGTAATTTGAGGCACAGTTGTGCAGGCCAGTGAAGCCCTTGAGCGATTTGCTCTGCCTCCCAACCGCCTGTCGCAGCATCCTTTGAGCCACTTTCCGCTCTGCATCCTGGACTCACCCTTTTGACGAGTGAGTGCTGCAAACCGCGTCGGCTCAGACTGAAAGAAACCCGTTAGGACCTGCATAAGAGTTTTAAAGACAAGAGGTGGAGAAGGAGACCTAGGATGTGGGAAAGCTTTGAGAGGATGGGACCGTAGGGATTGATTTCTTTCATCATCTGGTGCTGGGGGCTGTTTAGATTTCTATTTTAAAACAGAGTTTAAACACATTTGCTAAAACCCAGAATGAAGTTAACCTTCCTGCTAAATCTTGGGCTGTACCTGCATATATGCTTATGTATCTTTTCAGTTACACCATGAACTAAAATAACAAACTAGCCAACTGAATCAATTTGAAGCTAGGACTAAAGATTTATCTAGACATATCTCCTCAGATGAACGGATGGAGCTTACGGGTGGGAGAGCATGAAACTGTGCCTTACGCAAACTCATTTTTCGCACAGTCCAGTCCATGCTTGGCATCCCCTTTTACAATGAGGATTTGCTGGGACTAGGTCAGTGGCGCCCGTGATGCAGGGGATGAAAATGGCCTGGGGTTCACCATGGTGTTAAGTGCTGACTGCCCTGGGCCAGGGGAAGCCAGCCTGGCCTCTGCCTTACAAGCTCATGTGCTTCATGGGGTTTTATCTGACAAGCCCAGGATGCTCTCACTAAGGGAATTAGAGTTGAGGATATTTCCAGATTCCTCTTTATCAGTGAGCACCATGTGCACCATGTACTTTCTTTTCAGTTCTTGAAATTTCCCAGTTTTCATGATAACACTCACATCAGACTTTTCCAGCCTTCAAACAGTCCTGCAAAGTATGTTAGGAATGCGGTCCTGCTCCAGTTCTACCGAGGAAGCTAGGAAGTAGGACTGTGCTGTAGGAGGAGGCTGCCTGGTGCGTGTCTGCCATCTAGTGGTGAAACTCAGTTCTCAACGGGGGTTGGGGGTTGCCTTGGGTTGTGGGACTAATACTATTTGCTTGGTTATCACGGTTTCTAAGAGAATGGTCAGAGGGCCTAGAAGTCTAACTACTTCTGATGTGATTCTTTTTTTCTTTTTTTTTCCTGGAAGATCTTTATTAAAGCCTTCACTAAGGCAGGTAGGAGCATCAGCTCCTACTTCTTAGTTTCTCTGTTGCTGCAGTCAACTCTAGTGGTTCCCCAAGCTGGCCATCATCATCACCGGGGCTTGATAAA